TCCATCTGCCTAATCCCACTTTCATCTTGGACAGCACTCTCAAGCACACGGTGGAGATTCTTGAGCTTGTCCTGGGCAAAGACAGAACTTGGTGATCCTTGTGGGTCTTTTCCAGCTCAGGATATTTTCTGATTCCATGCAATTGTGGCAGGGGCAAGGATGAGAACACATACCTTTCATCCTTGTGTTCATCCATGTTTCTCATGAGCCTCAGGAGGTCGGTGACATCATTGCTGTATCTGTGTATTTTACCATTCCCTGGCTTTTTCATGATACCTAAAATCTCTTGGTCAATCTGAAAGAAAGCGGTAGATTATTCCCTTTTTAGCCTTTCACACCCCATGAATACAACACATCTACTACCACTCACCACAGCCACTGCTTTTCTGCAGGGACATCATTCTGCATGGGAGAACCTCCTGACCCTCCAAATATCCCACCATGAGAAGAGTTCCCTCTGCACCACACAGCCCCGATTCCTTTGAGTGTTTCCTCTCCCACYTTGCCAAGGTCTGGCATTCCTATCAGGACTGTCAACACGGCACAGAAGATTTTCACAGATGCCTGGAGGGCAGGAGGGACTCATTCAACGTGCCACTGATGAGAGAACCACATGGGCTGCTGTGCTGAACCGAGACTTTTGTGGGATTTGTGGRATCCCAAACGGTGTGGCACAATGTCACCTGCCAAAGCACACCCAGCCTCACTGCTTTGGAGACAGCCAACAAAACACTTCTGCCAGAAATCTGCTGGCAACAAGGGCCAGAGATCCTTAAGTGGTCACCAATAATCAACTTAGAAGGTTTGCCAGCTAATTCTAGAATGATCAACCCCCTTCTATCACCCCACTCAGCAGAGGTCTCTTTATCATCAACATCTTTCCACTATGCACCTTGGGTTGAATTGTTTCTTCCAGATATCTCAGWATTTGTGTGGGGCTACTTTTTCCAGTTTCATTTTTAAACAGAACACATGAAACATTTGGAAAAAGTTTCCACCTGAATGCCTAGCTCAAACCAATCCAAATTGAAGAGGATTACCTCTCTGGTCCACCATGGATAAGGAAAACTTTTCTCAGTGACATGAGGATACTGAAAAATACTTTTTCGTTCTTTGAATTTTTTGATTTCTTTGATTTGATTCCATATATTCTTCAGGAAGTTGAACCTGCTGTGGGATGAGAAGCTTCATCAGCTRCAATGGGACATCACTGCTCCCAGCACTGCAGGCAATTCCCACACCAAAATCCCACACCCTTTGGGCTCCCAGGAGTTACCTCTGATTGCTCCAGAAATAGGGATGTTTGCTCAGCCCTTCCAAGCCTCGTTCATCAGGAGAGGACAGGYTCTGTACAAGGTCCAGAGCCTCTGTGAAATCTGGGGAATCGGGAGCCAAATCCTCGATTCCAACKTGCTGGAGGGGTTTCCTGCCCCCCGTTAAAACGTACAGCACGAGCCTGCCCAGGGCCTGCAAAGAGACATCACTGCTCCCGTGCCACATGCACCCAACTTCCAACCCCATGGAAGAGGACTCGTATCCCTAAACCCTGCAGGCGCCCAARAGTGTAAAATCCACAGCAGCACCCAACTTCCAAACCCATGGAAGAGGACTCATATCCCTACATCCTGCAGGCACCCAAAAGTGTAAAATTCACAGCTGCACCCAACTTCCAACC